GAAGTTTGCATGTTCTCCCTGTGCCTGTGTGGGTTTCCTCCATGTTCTTCAGTTTCCTCCCACACTCCAAAGACATGCTGGTAGGTTAATTGGCCCTAGTATGTGCACGTATGAATGTAAGTTAGGGACCTTAGATTGTACGCTCCTTGAGGGTTAGGGACTGATGTGAATGTACAATATGTATATATGTAAAGTGCTGCGTAAATTGACGGTGCTATATAAGTATCTGTAATATAATCATAAATAAATCGATGGGGAGAGCAGTGGTTTAGATTCACACTGTTTTTGTATGTTTTTTCCTTTCTAACAATGCAACAGTGCGCTGCTAACAAAAGACAGCTTAAGGACAGGTGGCAAGGAAAGGAATAGCACACCAGCTTTATTCTTGGTTAGCAAAGTGTGGCTTGGGAGGAGACAAGCTGAAGCCGATCTGTCACAATCTGAATGAGCAGCCTGCTGGTTTGCGCTTCCACGTTCCTTTTTTGACTGTCGGCAGTGTCTGGCCAGATGGACAATTTGGATGTCAGTACCTTATACAGAGACATCAGGTGATACTAAGTGGACTTTTGAGCAGCGTTAGTTTGTGTTTTTGGGTTAAAGAATAGGTTATTATAACTAGTAAATGCTCTGCTTTAGGCATCACAAACCTAAAAATAAGGCACTAATAACATACAAAAATATTTAAAATATGCACAAAAATGAAACCCTCAAATTACCACCCCTGAAACAAAAGCTGCTTTTTGTTAAAGGAAAATGTGCATCAATAAAAGCAGTATAACCTAAAACATAAACATTAATGTAAAATAAAAATACATTATATCATCAAAATAAATGAACCCCCCAATGTAACCTTTGCAGCAAGATTAAAAATGCTACATACAGGACAGAAGCTAAAAGAAGCTACTGACCTAAAAGTAGCCAAAAAATAAAATGAACGACTAAAATGCCCCTAGTGATAAGAAAAGAAGCAGCAGTAGATTTAATTACCCAAAGAGCTAGCAATCAAAATTAAAGTACAGTTTCCTAACTGACCCTATTCTACCTTATCCTTACCTACACTAAAGCTACATACATGTACATACATGTGATGAAAATCATCTAGTTCCACATTACCCATTCAAATTTCAGTATGCAGTCCTGTCCATTCAACAGACATTGGTCTAGCTCAGCAATGGGCAAACTACGGCCCGCGGGCCGTATTTGGCCCGGCGGACCTTTTAATCTGGCCCGCGGAGCGTGGCAAACATTGGCTGTCAGGATGTAGGCGGGGCAGCGTGACGAACTCCTCTCCTTTCACAGTCCGCCCTGAAGACCGGAACGGCGCGGGAACACGGCGAGAGGAACGCGCGGAGCAAAGGTAAGTGAATTGACACAATATGGGGAATGAATTACTATGGGGGGATGAATTACTATAGGGGGGATGAATTACTATATGGGGGATGAATTACTATATGGGGGATGAATTACTATAGGGGGGATGAATTACTATATGGGGGATGAATTACTATAGGGGGGAATGAATTACTATATGGGGGATGAATTACTATGGGGGATGAATTACTATATGGGGGATGAATTACTATGGGGGATGAATTACTATATGGGGGATGAATTACTATGGGGGATGAATTACTATATGGGGGATGAATTACTATATGGGGGATGAATTACTATGGGGGATGAATTACTATGGGGGATGAATTACTATTTGGGGGATGAATTACTATGGGGGATGAATTACTAAGGGGGATGAATTACTAAGGGGGATGAATTACTATATGGGGGATGAATTACTATGGGGGATGAATTACTATATGGGGGATTAATTACTATTACTATGCTTACTATGGGGGAATATTACTATACTTACTATGGATGGCATGGTAGTGGCTGGGCCGGCCAGCAGCTAGTCCGGCCCCCCGGGTCCAACATATGAACCCATTGCGGCCCTCAAGTCAAAAAGTTTGCCCACCCCTGGTCTAGCTTCTGTCTAACAGTCATGCTGGAAAACCAACATTTGATCAGTGCTTGCTGCCTTTGGCTGCAGAGCTGATCAGTATATTCTGACATTAAGGAGTCCTGCTGTCAGAATACAAAGACACAGTGGGAGAGATCCCTGCATCAACAATGCTTGTGTTGATGCAGGGATCTGTGTGGTTTTTTTTTTTGTTCAACCCATTGGTGCACCCTGTTTAAGCCTGCTGACCATGATTCAAGTACAAGGGGTAATGAATGCAAAAAACATGGTCTAGTACTCTTCTGGCATGGAAAACGAATTGTCCTGTGTCTTGGAATATGTGGGTTAATGTAGAGATTATAATGACCACCCTATGTTATCTCATCAAAGTCACCATGCATTGAATCGCTGTAATTCATAATCTGACCCACAAACTTTTAGGCTTACCACACATGTTACAATCTGACTGTACAATTGCCATTAGATCTACCATCAAGTATGTAGTGCAAGGGCCTGTCTGATTCTATAGGGATTGATTGAATAGTTTAGGCAGGTCCTCATAATACAGAGTTTGGCATATCTAAGGTTGATTATACAAACATTCTATGGTCAGATTGCAATGTGTATGGTGACCCCTAAGGTACTTAACTATACTTTGTGCTTTACAATTAGGCAGGAGGTGCTATAGAAAATCTTGTACCGGGCACCACTGAACCCAAGGTTGGCCCTGCCAAGAACTACCCCTTTTTTTGATGTTATGAGTATTATTTATTGGTGTTTTTTTTTTCATGTGTTTATTCACCTGTGAGATTGAGCTCTAACTGGCATCATTTTTAGTTATGTTATGCAGAACTCATTTTAGCATCCAAACTGTCATATACAGCTGACATAATGTATATAGAATGTATTTTCCTTGAATGCAGAACATTTATTAAATTGTCTCTCTCTACAGGTTTCAAAATCTAAACTTCAAATTATGCTATGCTACAGAGGAACAAATTAAATTGTATCAGACACTGAGACATGGAAAGGAAAACAAGTGAGGTTAATAAAACACATACTTTGCATAAGTTTATTTACTGAACTGATTTATTTCCTTCATGCTTGGGTACCTATATAGTATGTACACTACATTGCACACATCTAGCAGATTGAAATAAAGCACAAAGATATATTTATAATAATCTTTCAAACCTAGTCCAATCTTAAATATTATTTATGCAATATTTTTTAAAGCAAGGAAATAAATAAGACTGTAAAAAATAGAACGTAAGAGTGGGATCAAATTTTCAATCTAAACTCAAAAATGTAGTTTACGCCTCATATATTAAATAACTCCCTGGAGAAGAACATTGTATATATTTTAAAACTTTGTGGGTGTCTTAGAATACAATTATTATTAGTAGTAGTAGTATTAATAATAATAATACAAAAAACTGTCTCTATTTATAAAAGGATTCCACAGATGTCACATACGCCATGCTTTTTTTTCTACGTGTACATTAAATGACATTCACCATCACTGTGCACAAATCTCTATAGGCATATTGGTAAAAAAATATCTGCAAAATACCATCAGATTTGTTGTAAACAGTCCAGTATAATGATAATTTATCTATGGAAAGACTATTTTATGTTTTTTGTATTCTCAATATTTTATATATGCATTTAATGTATTATTATTATTAATATTATATGTCAGGGCTTAAAAAAGCCGCTCACCCACTCGCCAAATGCGAGGTGAAATTCCTCTGTGGCGAGCACCGAGCACAGATGAAGCCTGGAGCGACTCCACCTGCGCTCCAAGCCTCATTGTGAAGCCGAGTTCCGGTTTACAACTTGTGGTTTGCGGCTTCTTCGGCTCCGCTGAGAGGAGACACCCTCTCCGCCGTGGGGGGACACAGAGGGACTAGGAGTAAGTACTGTATACAACATGTCATATCACTATAATGGAGTACAGGGGAGCTGGGATATACATTACTGGTGGACAGTAAGTTTTGTGACCGGCTAGTAGGTCTGGAATTGAAATTTTAACCCCTGTTTTATGTTATGTATTATTAAAGTGTTACTAAACCCAGGACCCTGCATTCACTATATCTGGTCTCCCACAGTACAAAGAACATGGAAATGAAACTATTTTAGTAAATCTAAACTGCTAAATACCTTTTCTCATCAGCAGTTAGAGCAGTCTTGTGACTTCTATCAGTGTCCAATTGAGCACTGTTTAAAGCTTGTAGGAGGAGTTTTCATTCTCCTCTCACTGCCCTATGAGATTGCATAACCCTTGAACCTCTGTCTGGACAGTGCTGATTGGCCTTATGCTGATCACATACACCCTCCCAAGACAAATAAAAAAACTATCTAGTAGTACACACCAAACTGAGCATGTGCAGAGTGTCACCAAGACTGCGTTCTATCAGGAAATGAAATGGGGAACAAGGAAGAAGGGGAGGATCAGAGCAGTCAGAAGAATCAGCATCCTTTTTACACAATGCAGAGGATTAACTTCTTAAGTTCCACAGTGAGTATAACAAGCATGCTTTACTGCATTTACAGACTGATTTTACTGTTGTGGGTTTAGTAATACTTTAAATGTAAATGTTCAGATTATATAAATTACAAATAGGTATGATTTAGCAATAGTCTAGAGATTTATTAATTTACCATTTTTTTAATATGATTATATTTTTATTGAACGTTTTAAAACAGTTACAAGAAATTGCACACAAACTACAAGGCACAATTAAATTACCAAACAGGTATAGATGAAATAGGCTTGGGTATATTATGAGACAAGTTACAACCATAGAGGGGTTGGAGAACATTAGCCCTTTTACAAAAATGGTGTATGCCATTAATGTAGTGGTCAAGAGCATATAATAAAACAAGGACACAAACTTTCATGAAGTTGGTGAAAATACAATAAAATAAGCAAAAATTAAATAGACAGCTGAAGAGATACCAGTTGATAAGAAAGGAAAAAAGGATTCATATTGGTAGTAAGTACAAGTCCAAGTCCAATTACAAGCACAAGAACATGTCACTTAACCTCCCTGGCGGTATTCCCGAGTGTAGCTCGGGGTAAAGTTTCAGTACCACAAGCGGTAACCCCGAGCTACACTTGGGCTTACCATGCGGCGCTGCTCCGTGATCCCTCTATCACTTACCTTGTCCTGCGCTCCTGCGATGTCCCTCCTGCAGTGTCCCCGGCAATGTAATCCGGCAGATGCCGGCATCTGTCATCTGAATTCCATCCCCTGCGAGCATCGGGACGTACGGAGGACGAAACGGCGGGAAATTTGAAAATGACAAAAAGTGACATTCACTAAAATCACTAAAATCACATAGTATAACATTACTGTATCAAAGCATTTCACATATATTTTGTCCCTAGTGCTTTGTCCTGTGCCCTGCCCGCATTTTTACTGATCTTTCTGCCTGGAAACTGAGAAACGTCCATGACGTCCACAAAAGCGTCCCTTTAGGTCAAAAGCGGTTTTAGACCAGCTAGAGAACAGCGATAGTAAATCAGAACCACTTGCAGAATTGAGTGATAATGATTTGTGGGGAAATTCGTAATCAGACACTGAAAAAGATTTTGCGACTAAGATCAGTGATGTGCGAACTTGGCGCTATATTTCAAATTTCAGTGTTTTTGGTTTGATTATATTATTGAATTACATTTATTATTATATTATTTTTTATGATTATTTATGAAATTATAATTTATGATTTTGCGTTTTCAAATTTTAACATACCAGGGATGTTTACTAGACTCTTGTTCGGACAGATTTCAGTGAGTTATCACTAAAAATTACAGGCCTACAATATAAAACGCCAAATTTCCATGCAAAATAATGGTACCACTTTCAGCATCAAAAATCTGAAATAATCATACCGCCAGGGAGGTCAAAGCGGAACTCCTCCCAAAAGGGGAATTTCTGCCTCCTCTCTCTTCCCTTCCACATTTAACATGCAATTTTTTTGGAGGGGGTGCGGATACCTAGTTTTGACAGGTGCCCGTTCCCACTTCTGGCTGTTTGCCATGGTGAACTGAGCTGGAAGTTTGGCCCCCATCCTTCCTCTTGCATTCTTCTGGGACCATTCTGACTGACCATTCAGTAGTCACAGCGTGAATTGTGCATGTGCATGGACAGCTCGGGTGAGCACATCGCTAGATCCTGGGACAGATGAGTGTGTGTTTATTAATAGTCAGACGCTACAGTTTTTGCAGCTGCTGACTTTTAATAAATACAAAAACTACTGGAGCTCCTCTAAGGTTAGATAGCAGTTTGATTACTCTGAGAAGAGGGAAGTGGGGTACTAAATGTAGACTGATCCCACGTGTCCCAGACAGATTCAAAAAAGGATATGTTGTCTCCATCAAGGGAAGTGAGGAATTTGAGTAGAGACTGTGAATCAGGCCTTCTTGTCCGATATCAGTGCCTGACCGCACAAATGTGCTTCTGGAAGAATGGTAAACATTCCCATAGACAGTCCTAAACCTTGTGGACAGCCTTCCCAGAAGAGTTGAAGCTGTTATCGCTGCAAAGGGTGGGTTATTCAATATTGAACCCTACAGACTAAGACTGGGATATCATTAACCATTTCAATACCGGGCAATTTTACACCTTCCTGCCCTGGCCATTTTTCAGGTTTCAGCACTCTCACAATTTGAATGACAATTGCGCGGTCATATAAAATTGTAACCAAACTAAAATTTTATCATTTTCTTCACACAACTAGAGCTTTCTTTTGGTGGTATTTAATCACCACCGGGGTTTTTATTTTTTGCTAAATTATCAAAAAAAGAGCCAAACAATTTGAAAAATAACACATTTTTCTTTGTTTCTGTTATAAAAGTTTGCAAATAAATAATTGTTCTTCAAAAATTTAGGCCAAGATGTATTCTGCTACATGTCTTTGGTGAAAATAACCCAAATTAGGATGTATTTTTTAGTTTGTAGGAAAGTTATAGAGTTCACAAACTATGGTATAGATCTGAATATTGATCAATCCTGAAGTGCTGACAGCCAATCTAATTTGAGATCCAAGAATGTCAGAACAGTACAGATATCCCCCAAATGACCCCTTTTTGCAGAGTAGACAGTCCGAGTACTTCATAAGAGACATGGCGAGTTTTTTGAAGCTGTATTTTTTTTGTCATAATTTTTCAAAAAGTGAAAAAATGCAAAAAATTATTTTCACTATTTTTTTTTTTTTTTACATACTGTCACCAGTGCAGTACAGCATCTTCATATAACTGGCATGGTGATGATCAGGGACACTGACTGGTGGTGACAGTATGAAAAAAAAAAATCTTTTTTTTTTATTTTTTTTTTTATTTTTATTGTTTTTAATTTTTTATTACATTTTTTTTTTCATTTTTTAAGATCTGTTTTTCATATTTCACTATGTCCAAAGTAGTACAATGTTACCATAGTAACATTGTACTACTTTGGGGAAGTGATCAGTATTTTTTTTTTTTTTTACACAATTTGCTTATAGCAAAGAATTAGTTTGCTATAAGCAAGCATTTACCTGAATGACCGATTCATTTAGGGTTTTTTTTTTTTTTGTGCTTCGCTGTGATTTGGCCACAGCTACTCACATGACATGTGCATGTGATTAGCTGTGACCATTCACAGCTAGACACTAGTATACAATGGATGGCATGAATGAAGCCATCCATTGTATACAACTGTCATGTGAGCTGCTGTGATTGGTCACAGCAGGTCACATGGTACCGGCAACGGGGCCGATACTCAGCTCTGTCATCGGCCGTGTCCGAGGTACACGGCCGGTGACAGATCGCGTCGCTGCGCGACTCTGCAGGAGTGCAAACTGCGCATGTGCGGGAGGACGCGCCATTTGGTGTCCAACTTGGAAATGCAGTACATTTTGCTGGCCACTGTGTACTGGTTAAAGTACATGAACATGTAAAGGCAGGTGTCCCAATACTTTTGGCAATATAGTGTATATATTACAAATTAAGCCTAATTGGCAGGGGCCTTGTGCACAAATGTGTTCAAATTTTGTAGGTTTTTCTAGGGTTAGGGGGGGTCATAACAGAGAAAAAAAGCTTAATTTGTAGATAAACAAATTGATGATGAGATGGTATATGTTTAGAAGAACTTAAATCTGCAAAGGGTCTTATCTTACAGGATACTGGGTTGACTAAGTGGTGTAGTTGAAACACAGGTGCTTAGGCACATGGAGCGGTACATCTATAAACTAAACAGTCTGGAAGATATGGATTATATAAGACATTAATTAAAGGAAAGCATAGAGAGGAGAGGGAGTACATCCACTTACACTGCTTCTAAATAACTAAGGTAAATAGTATAGGAGCAAGAAGTAAATGTTTATAGAGAGACAGTTTAGTGGGGGCCAAGGACCAGAGTATCGAATATAGATGTATAGGAAGCAATTGCAGAGATTCAATTTCAGTCCATCTGTTTGGCTAATCAGGACATTACAGTTCTTAAGTGCGTAGCCAAGTAATATCAGGTAATATTGAAGGTCCGGAACACCCAGCCCACCTCTAGATCTCAATGAGAGCAGGACTGATTGTGCTATATGGTAAGCTTTATTATTAGGTTGAGAAATCATTCTTGTAAGGAATGTAGCTTTGCCATTAGGTTTGGAAATGGGAGAGTTTAAAATAAAAAGAGCAGTTTAGGCATAATTGTCATTGAACATTGATCCTTCCTAAAATATATATATTATAGGAGTCCCATTGTTTCAATGATTGGACAATAGCATGAAATAAAGGTGGGTAATTTGCTTCTTATAAGAGAGAGTTAAGTTAATACCCAAGTATCGTAAAGAGTGGGGACACTAGCAGTAAGAATAATGCACCTGTAGAGTTTCCAAAGTAGCTTTGGTAATATGAGTGGGTTAATCCACCATTTTAGTTGTGCTGATTTTGTATTCTGATAATGCACTAAAGGATTTAAGGGTGCGATGAAGCATTGGTAAAGATGTATGTGGATCCATAAATAAGACATCATCTGCAAATAGTAATAATTTACACTGTAAGTGGTATCCCTATGGGTATCTGGGCTAGTTCCAATCACTACTACGAGAGGTTTTCGAACATATGATATAGAAAGTAACAGGGACAATGAACACACCTTTGATGGGTGCCATTAGCCATCTGAAAAGACAGACATTTGAGGATACTTTCACTTGAGAAGTTGGGGTGGAGTAAAGGGCCATTACAGCCCTAAGAAACAAGCAAGGAAAATCAAATCTGGAGAGTGTATGACATACTGTATGTAGGGCCTTCCCAACCTTCCAAATCCTTTCTGAGCAACCAACCTGAAGAGTAAAGTGGGGGTACGTGATCTATTGAGGATATCAATAAGGTCTATCGTTCTCTTGTGTTGTCTTCAACACGCCTGGCTGGTATGAATCCCACTTGGTCACGATTTATTTAAGATTAGGAAAAAAGCTTAGCTAATCTGTTAGCCAGAATTTTTGTAAATATTTTGTAATCAGAGTTCAATAAAGCTATAGGGCAGTAGTTGATCAGGTGAGATGTGTCCTTGCCAAGTTTTGGGATAACTTAGATATAGAAATGCTTATATTGGCTATGGGAAATTTCCCCTTATAGAAATGGTTTAAAAAGATCATGTAAAAATGCAGCTAACATGGAAGAAACGTCTTAAAATAGGAATAATGGAGACCATCTGGACTCAGGGATTTATGTATAGGAAATTGTTTAATATCTTGTGTAAGTTCTTCCAGAGTTATGCTGGTGTGATTTACCATCCAAGAGGGACAATTTTGGTAATGTAGCAGATCAAAAAACTTGTCAAAAGTTTATAGCTTAAGAGGCAATAGATATCCAGGGAGAGACAGTTATATTGTTTTTGGTAGTAGTCCCCAAATACATTAGCCATGGTTTGGGGGCAGTAGTTAGGAGTGCCATCCGACTGGTATAAGTGGCCAGGTAAGGATGGATGAAGAAGGATTAGATCTAAGCTAATTTGCCAGCCTTTTATGAGATTTATTTAAGAATTTTATGAAGCTCTAGGGCTTTAAGCTGGTCTCTTAAATATGTAACCTCTTGGAGGTGGGTAACAGAGACATTAGAAAGGAGTTGTGAATTAGCTAGCTGGGCAATCAAAGAAAGTTTGGTTTGGAGAGTGTTACATTGTGTGAGCTTTCCATAGAGTGGAAGCAGAGGCTACTATGCCTGCATTAATCTGGTAAGCTATGGGACAGTTGCTGCCATATATGCTCAGTCCATAAGAGACTTTCATTAGGGCACTAGGGTTCGAGAGGACTGCATCTAGTGTAATCGAGACAAGATCAGACCACCACGTAATAGGATTTATCTGGGGCAGCACAGTGGCTAAATGGTTAGCACTTCCGC